GCTATTAGTAAAAGAACGTATCGTGAGTGGTTTCAACGCTTCAAGAACGGTGATTTTGACGTCGAAGACCGGCATAGCGGTGGAAGAGAGAAGGTTTTCGAAGATGCAGAATTGGAGGCATTACTTGAGCAAGACTCGTGTCAAAATCAAGAAGAATTGGCACGATCATTGGGAGTGACTCAACAAGCCATTTCAAAACGCCTCAAAGCCATGGGAATGATTCAGAAGCAAGGAAATTGGGTGCCGTACGAATTGAAGCCGAGAGATGTTGAACGGCGTTTGTTTGCTTGTGAACAGCTGCTTGAAAGGCAAAGACGGAAGGGATTTCTGCATCGCATTGTGACTGGGGACGAAAAATGGGTTCATTACGATAATCCCAAGCGCAGAAAATCATGGGGAGTTCCCGGCCATGCTTCCACGTCGACGGCCAAACCGAATATTCACGGCTCCAAGGTCATGCTCTGTATTTGGTGGGACCAGCTCGGCGTAGTGTATTATAAACTGTTAAAACCGACTGAAACAATCACAGGCGATCAGTATCAAACGCAATTGATGCGTTTGAGCCGAGCATTGAAAGACAAACGGCCGCAATACAACGAGAGACACGATAAAGTGATTTTGCAGCATGACAATGCTCGACCCCATGTTGCGAAAGTGGTCAAGACATACTGGAAACATTGAAATGGGAAGTCCTACCCCACCCGCCATATTCTCCAGACGTTGCTCCCTCTGACTATCACTTGTTTCGATCAATGGCACACGGCCTGGCTGACCAGCACTTCCGGTCTTATGAAGAAGTAAAAAATTGGATCGATTCGTGGATAGCCTCAAAAGATGACCAGTTTTTTCGACGCGGAATTCGTACGCTACCCGAAGGATGGGAGAAAGTAATGGCCAGCGATGGACAATACTTTGAATCATAAATGTATAACTAGTTTTTTACAATAAAGCCTTGAATTTCGGAAAAAAACGGCGGATGCAAAGTTGTACGCCTAATATATATATATATATAATAGGTGTAATAAAAAGAAATTCATTATTTTTCCATTCAATTGCATGCAAAAATAATGAATTTCTTTTTACTACACCTAATATATATACATAAAATATATATATGTGTATGAGATTATTCTAATGAGATTGTAAATTTATCTTTTATTTAATATGTAAATTAAAAACACAATTGTAATGCATGTAAAAACAAAAAATCATTGATGTTTGCACTAATTAAAGATGTTTCAAAAAGATGTTAAATTTGTTCTTTAATTGTAATGTAATTGTAATTTATATTTAAAATAAAAAAGATATATAAGTCCTGGTTTACATTGCTGATTTAAACTCATACTAAATAATAACTTTCTATTAAATTATTGTAATTTCGACGATGTATGTAAACATATACATGGTAATGTATGTAATTGAATTGATCATCTTAATTGATGCTTATTGTATCACCGTAATGTACATACATTAATATTCTTTAAGAATATTATTGTTGAAATTAACATGATTTTATAGAAAGTTACTAATTGGTACAGATATTAAAAGATCGGTGTAAAATAGAACATTAGTAGTTTAACACAAGCGAGAAAGTTTAATTGTTAATTTAATTACTGCAGTTACATCGATGCCACAGTATAAGTACATATAATATGGACAGTAAGCGTCGACACCTTTAATGTAGTCCGAGATCACATAACTCGCTGCTTGTGTGGGTTGGAAAGGCGCTTATAAATATGAATTTTTCTAAAACAGAATGATTTTTCTAAAAAAAAAAAAAAAAAAAAAAAAAAAAAAAAAAAAAAAAAAAAACCAGAATTCGGTCATGTCATGAAAATTGTTTAGCGAGTATATTTTTAAATCAGAATTATATAATATAATGTTAACAAACTCATATAAAAATAAGATTAATAATAATAATAATATTTAACAGTAATAAGTAAATTAAAAATAATAAATTAAAAATAATAATTGATTCAATATTGAATAAATATGAAAATTGTACTTGAATTATTATGTATGAAAAAATAATATATTGCATGAACATTATAACTAAATGTGAAGTTGTAATTTAATAATACACACACACACACATACACACACACACATTTTATTACAAGAATACTTTATCATTTATAAATGTAACAGTCTATACAATATAGTGTCTCCAAAAAAATTTGATTTAATTTTTTAGTAAAACTTAATTCTATTAACCTTTGCCATATTTTTCTCTTACAAATTAAAAAAAATTTAGCTTTGTATGAACCCGTGATACTCATGTTTAGCCCAATTTCCTTAGGGGCTCCGCACAATAAAAGGAACAGGGAATAGAGAACAGAGAGTAAGAATTTCAACCTATCAGAAATTATGTATTGTGCAATATCAGTTTCTGATTCTATGTTAAAATTCTTATTCTCTATTCTCTGTTGCATGTTCTTTTTATTATGCGATCTTTATCAAAAGTCTCACACAATATTGTAAAAAAGTTTAATTATATTTTATGGGAAGGAGATCCAGCTAACCTAACCCTAACCTAACCTAACCTGCAATTTCAACTTGGTGAAGGCAGCCACATTCTTGGGAGTCGATTCTATATCTTCAAACAAGGTCAAAAATTACAAAAGTGAGTAAATTTACTAGGTGTTGACCAATGAAATGATCAGTATTTTAGTAAATTCATTCACTTTTGTAATTTTCATCTCGTTTCAAGATATAGAAGGTATGATCAACGTGATATTGCAAACGCTTTAAAGCGTTTTTTAATTGATCAGTTTGTAAAATTCTTTCTTCTAATTAGTTCATCAAACGCTTTAAAGCATTTGTTAAAGCGATACTTTGACCACAGCTCTTATACTTAGGGCTTCCTTAAATTTACTTTAGATGCTCAGCAGCCAATGAAATAATTCGTACAGTATCTGAAGATAAATTTAAATATAAGGCCTGACTATGAATATGGGCATTTGACCAGAATCGATTCCCTAGTTGGAAATCGATGCATGCACACTAAAAATTGGGAACTACATAAAAAGTTCAGTGTCCATACTGTATGTACTTATACTATGCCGATGTACCGACAAAAAATTAGCAACTTTTTGCCCACACATCACTTTCAACTATTTCTGACTGCGTTCGGAAATCTCCCGGATGCCTCCATATATCATCCTATCTTTATTTAATATTGAATGAACAACAAAGATAAAACGATACACAGCATTCGAGTAATATTTACGAACGCAGCCTTTGCCGATCTGTCGTTTAGCGCCAAGCTTCGCGTTGTTTTGCTGCCAACTGCTGTTGTGCTTCTGTTTACGAAGTGTAACGGTAATCAATATTTGCGCATTATTGGAGTATTATAGGAATACTTCACAAATAATTTGCAAAAATGTCAGACATACGTATTCTGGGTAAGCGATTAGCGCAACGTATCGGTCAGGAAGCGATTGTGCTTGGCAGAATTACGGAGGTATGAAAATATTTTAGCTTAGATTATAGTTTATATAGTTTATAGGTTATGATGATCGTCAGCAACAAAAATTATTTTTATCGCATTTTGTTGCAATAAATATTAATTATTATTAATTAAACAATATTTTTAATATATATTATTAATATATTTCCTAATAAAGTTAATCAAGATCAATTTGAACAAGTCTCTGCTATTTTATTTTTAAAAAATCAACAATCAATTCGGTTAATATTGATTCATTATAAAATGGCATTGTGCCTAATAAATCTTTTATAATTTTGTATTGATGATTTACGTGAAAATCCATTTGAGGCAATTCGTAGAAAAGTTCTGATAGTAAGAGTGCAGAGATCACGACGACCGATGACGCTCGAATTAACGTGACATTTCTTGAACCATTCGACAACACATCGGGTTACATAGAGGTGCGTGGTACGGTAAAATCAAAGTCTACTATGTCTTGTAGCAGCTTTGTATGTTTCCCTCCAAGTATGACTAAAGACTTTGGTGAGTAAGACATTCTCTTAGCATCAATTTTTCTAAAGTGTCCTTAACAAAGATATTTGCTGCAGATTCAAATGGCTACAATACAATGGTGAATGTGCGCTGTGCAGTGGGGAATCAGCTAGAAGGAGTATTCTATGGAGATTAAGAATCAGTTAGGAGTGTTCTACAGAGATAAAGATTCAAGAAATTTACATATACAAATTGCGTTTACTATGTTTCTCTATACTTCTTTTCATACATTTTTCTTTTTACATTTTGTTAGTTGGTCTGACATATATCCCTACCAAAAAAATAACAAGGAATGCTGCAATATAAAAGAAAAGCATTCAAACATGCATTCCTTCGTCTGTACATAAAATCGATCTGGTGGGAC